ATGTACAAAAAGCTTGTTTCAACTTTTTGGCAGTGAACACATTTGACACAGTTTCATTTATCTCAATAATAGTAGAAATTAATTGTGTGAATGAGTTTTATTGCAGCTAAACCAACTTGATACGCAGTGATAATGTTTGGACAAACTGGACAATGGTTAAAGACTAAAGCAAGATTTAGCTGATGTTACTAAAGCTGGGGAACTTAACTTAAGATTTATTTTCATATTAATAATTTCTTTGCTTCCATCACTAATTTTCGCACGCATATGTTTGGCCTCTGCCTAGACTGAAACAAGAGAGGACCAACCTCCCTCGGCCAATCAGCTCTCAGTATGTAAACAATAACAAATGTTCTATTAGGATGAAGACTGATTCTGATTGGTGCATTAACAATGTGAGCACCAGGTCTGCAGAGTCTGACAACCCTGACCCTAATCTTTGTAATGTTGTTATTTATATGTTGTTTGACAGTGAAAAAAACTGAATTCAATTCAATGTATTTTTGCATCGCTCTAAATCACAACAGTAGTTTTGAATTCACCAATAACAGATCAGAGAATCACGGGAAATGCAATGATAAAAACACATACAAACAATGGTCCAGAAGGGACAGAGACCAATGTCTATGAAGGAGTGTCTTGGATCATTACCACTGTCCTCAGACCAGGTGTCTCCAACCTTTTTCACCCAGAGAGCTACTTTCCCAGGACAATAAAGATAGAGAGCAACTGCTTTAAGCAGGAAATGTTGGTGATATATTGGTGAGAACGAGCTTGATATTGGTTAATCATTGCATATTTGTTACTTGTGCACAAAGTAAGTGCATTTACAATGATTAATAATGATAATGATTAATACAATCTCAAATAAGTATATTGTATGATTTGTTCATTTCTAAATCCTTTGGCGAGCTACCTGGAAGGGGGTGGCGAGCTACAGGTTGGATACCCCTGCCTTAGACCCTGCAGCATCAGTCAGGAACAACTCCGGGAGACTCAGATCGGACGGCTATAGATCCAGAACCCAAACTAAACTTTAGCGTATAATTCAAATAAATACACTGCAAAACATTATATCATATGGTAATACTAGCTTAAATCAAGGGAAATTTATCTTAATCTGAGCACATTCTGACTGTCTAAAACAAAATTTACATTTAGTCTTTCTTCAAGAACTACTGCTTGATTCTCATTCCACATTTCTTGGATCCTTTTAAAACAACATCATTTTGCTTCGTCCCATTGGTAAACAACTTGTTTTAAAGCAGTCAGAATGTGCTAAAATAATGTATAACTTTTTGCAGTGTACCAACTTCTCTTTGGTCAGTATTTGGCAGTATTTTAACAGTGTGGTTTTGAAGTGAAATGAAAGCTTGCTCAAAATCCATTCTGACTTTAAAGACGTTTCACTATAACACTGCCAGCTTCAGCCTCAGCTTCACCAACGCCAAAACTCATTGCAGTCTTTTCTGACCTTGTTGTGTTCCCTCGGGGGCACAACATAGAGCCTCACCTTTTTGAAATACCCTCGAAACCCACCCTCCACGGACCGAAGGCTTTCAACGGCCGCCGCTCGGGCCGCCTCCATCGCCGCCATCGCTTCCTTCGCCTCGTCACGTCTAGCTTCACTCAAACATTCAATTAATCCCAGAAGAAATACATACTTTTTAAACCATTACTTCTTGCAATAAAAGCAGCCGGTGTCCATTAAGTCGATGGCGGTCGGCACTGTTCCACCAAATTGCTCTTTATCAGTCATCAAACCTGCACACGCGTTAGCTTATTAGCGCTAACGAAGGACGCGGCGTTGGCAGCTCGGACACATTCTGCATTTTTCCGCTTTGTTTTTAATCATAGGGGAAGCAGCGACGATGCCAATGGACACACAGAACTCTAATTATAATGGTACAGATAATGTGGTATAAAAGAGAGAAGATTTTTGACGTTTTCTTACATGTGTTTTTGTTTCTGCGGTGGAAGAAAATGTATTAAGTTGTGATGATCAGGGAGATTTAAGGACATTTATAAACAGTGGTCCTGCCCGCTCCCTATGGTTTGAACTGTTTGATTCTCTGATCTGTTTTTGGCAAATTCCCCTGATACGACTGCTGTTGGGATTTAGGGCAATCCAGAAATACGTGCGATTGAATTGATTTTGTACTTAAAGAGGACATATCTTGGATCGCCGGGGCTTGCCTTAAACATGAAGACGACAACTTTGTACATGTATCACTGTGACTGACCATTGTCCAGCTTGAAACCACTTAAAAATAATGTTTGGTTTTGTGATTTTTTCCCAAATCTCAACCTGTGCGACCTCAGAGGCAGTCGGTAGAATCACGGCTATATCCAAAACCCAAGTATCAGTGTTTTTGCTGCTGTGGCCTGAAATGTTGTTGCTTATTATTACTACTACTATTGCTAGCTTTTTATAATTATCAATGTATTGGTTTTGTTTTGTGTGGATGGATGTGTTTTTGCTGCTACTGGACACCTTCATTTCTTCTATAGGGATCAATAAAGAATCTATCTATCTATCTATCTATCTATCTATCCATCTATCTACCTATCCATCCATCCTCAGCCCTGTGTATGCTATTGTCAGACCCATGGCACCAGGTCTGACCCTGGACTCACCCCTCGACTCCAGACGCAGACTTGGATGTGGCGTTGTAAACATTATTCCTCTATAACCAGAGATTGGGAGCGACAAAAACAATATTTATCAAACAGGAGTGGCTCTGACAGACAAGCCGGGCTCCAGACGTGACCGGGGTGGAGAAACAGGAGAGACACCCAGGTGGCTTCTCTCTCTCTCTCTCTCTCTGTGCTTTTCACGTCAGATTCAGATTTAGTTTTTTTTTTTGGCAGTAAAACCACATTGGAATGATTGATATTGAGCTGTGTTTGGTCCAATGGGAAAAAGCATATATATTTTGGTGTGGATTTGGTTTAGAGCAGGGGTGTCAAGCTTATTTTGGTTGAGGGCCAAATAAAAAATGAAAAGGCTGGTCAGGGGCCAAAAGAATAGGTGGGTTTTATTTTATCAAAGGTTTTTTAAGACCAGAGAGATTTTTTAAAAATTGGAGAAATGTAATTGAAGAGTGGTAAAAAGCATAACATAATAATTCTAACTTCTAATTACATGTTGGCTTAACATTTCTAATGGAATTACATTTTATGGTTGTTTTCTTAAGGAAACTAGTAATGGATAAAATGCCATTGTTGCCTTATACCATCAATAATTTAATCTCATCACAGGGGCCACTGGAAATGGTCTCATGAACAGGATCTGGCCCCTGGGTCTTGACTAATGGTTTAGAGATACAGTACATTTTAGAAAACCACAAAACATACATGGTTTTAAGTTACGTTTTAAAACAGTACGGAGAATTTGTATTTTTTTTCAATTTATTTATAGGATTTCCAGCTATGTTTTAAGAATCTCTTTTAAGCGCTTATATTAAAACTGAGACAGGCACCGCAGAAGTATCCAGAAGTCGGTACTTTCCCACTTTAGGTAATAGTTATCTGAAAGTCAAAGCAGTTTTTTTCCTCCCACTCCTTTTTTGAGTTTGAATCATTTGCAATATTATATTAAGATATTGATAATGAATTATAGTTTTGAAAATTCTATGTACACAGCAAAAAAATATGAAATAAACGAGGTAATAATTGCTTAAATCAAGTATTTTTCATTTTATTTTGACCACATTCTGGCATTTGCAAATTAGTAATTCAAGAACTGTTGATTGACTTTTGATTTATTTTCTCATTCCAACGAGACATTTCTTGTATTTTCCTTTTTTTAAAAACAAGATATATATATTTTTGAAAATAAGATACATTTGCCAATCTTGAGTATTTTTTGAATTATTTTTTTTCTATCACTTTTTGCAGTGTAGTCACATGAGCTCAAAATAGATAAACGCTCAACTCAAGTTTTATCTGTTGGCGATGTGGCAGAGGCCGAGGGGGACTGCTGTATTTTGTCTGAATGCTGTGAAAACTTATAGTAACAACAATAAAACACACCTAGGACCTCTGAATCATTTCCCATTTCACTTCAGAACGGTGAGTAATTCAAGTTATATGTATTCAAGACATTTGGTGAATGTGTTTTAAACAGATGAAACAATAAGTCTTTCTGTCTGTTTTTGCCACACTGAGGATAAGCCCTGAGCTTCCAGTTTGTTATTCAATTCTTTTTCCTGAATCCATACGGGAAAAATGCCCACTTTGCCCGAAGCCCCCGCTGGAAGATCAAGGCTCCTGTGGACTCAGCACTCGCAGGAGGATCAGTGAGGGGCTGGTGCTCTGTGTGCTGGGTGGACTCTGACTGCCACCCCCAGACCCAGAAATGGATTAAGGGGAAGAAAATGGATGGATGGATATGGGAAAAATGAATTCTAACTTTGGGAATGGCGACGGTAGTGGGCACGTTCACGGCTAATTTTAAACATTGAAAAATATGAGACTGGGTCCAATAAAACTAGGAATTAGAAAGGTTCTTTATACCTGTAGAATATGAGTCTGATTATGGCCACATTTTAATATTTTAGTATTTGAGTCAACGTAACACTGCTATTATTAAAGTAAATACAAAAAACAAAACAACAAATATAATGTTGCAGAGTGTGATGTGTTTCCCTGGCAACAACAACGCATTCTTGTCGTATAAAGTTATGAACTGTTCTGAAATCTACATATATAGATATATTGATGGCTGGGATTGACCTCTGACACTTTGTATAAATCATTTTAAAAATACATTTAAAATAAAGACATGATTAACGCTTATATCACCGGCACCAATACAAAAATAATACAAAAATGACCCAAATTTCCCCAAAAAAGTGAATCGTAATGATATTCTCTTGTTAAGATACTGTCCTGTTTGCGTTTCATGCAGCTTTGAGCTTTGGACCCTCTCCCTTTGCTGAAGTAGTACTAGGACTTGCAGTAGTAGTAGTCGTAGTAGTAGTTTTTCTTCTCTTCTCTCACACGTACATGGCCGGAGACACAAAGCTCTCCCCGCGAGCGATGTGGACGGTTCCTGCGCCGTGATTGGTCGGGTCGTAGTCGTGGAGATCGTCGTTCATGTTGTCGTACTTGGCGCCGCCGTTCAGGGCGTCACCGCTGCCGTCGTCGTCCAGATTCTGTGACGGACGAGAGGGAGACGAGAGTGAGACGAGAGTGAGGCGAGAGAGACACGAGAGAAAGAGACAAGAGAGAGAAAAGAGAGAGCCATGAGTGAGACAAGAGTGAGAGACAAGAGAGCAAAAAAAGAGAGCCAAGAGTGAGAGACGAGAAATAGTCGAGAGTGAGAAGAGTGAGAGACGAGAAATAGTCGAGAGTGAGAAGAGAGTGAGAGACGAGAAATAGTCAAGAGTGAGAAGAGAGTGAGAGACGAGAAATAGTCGAGAGTGAGAAGAGAGTGAGAGACGAGAAATAGTCGAGAGTGAGAAGAGAGTGAGAGACGAGAAATAGTTGAGAGTGAGAAGAGAGTGAGAGACGAGAAATAGTCGAGAGTGAGAAGAGAGTGAGATACGAGAAATAGTCAAGAGTGAGACAAGAGTGAGAGACGAGGGAAGACATATATGAGAGTGAGAAACAAGAGTGAGAGAGAAAAGAGAGAGGCAAGAGAGAGACAAGACTGAGCGACGAGACAGAGTCAGGAGAGAGAAGAGAGTGAGACAAGAGTGAGAGACTAGAGAAGAGAGATATGAGAGTGAGAGACAAGAGTGAAACAAGAGTGAGAAGAGAGAGAGACAAGAGTGAGGCAAGAGTGAGGCGAAATTGAGACGGATGAGAGAAGAGTAAAAAAAGAGTGAGGCGTATGAGACTAGAATGAGACGAGAGAGAGAGACAAGAGTGAGACGGACGAGAATAGAATGAGACGAGAGAGAGAGACAAGAGTGAGACGGATGAGACTAGAATGAGATGAGAGAGAGAGACAAGAGTGAGACGGACGAGACTAGAATGAGACGAGAGAGAGAGACAAGAGTGAGACGGATGAGACTAGAATGAGATGAGAGAGAGACAAGAGTGAGACGGATGAGACTAGAATGAGACGAGAGAGATACAAGAGTGAGACGGATGAGATTAGAATGAGACGAGAGAGGGAGAGACAAGAGTGAGACGGATGAGACTAGAATGAGAAGAAAGAGAGAGACAAGAGTGAGACGGATGAGACTAGAATGAGATGAGAGAGAGAGACAAGAGTGAGACGGATGAGACTAGAATGAGACGAGAGAGAGAGACAAGAGTGAGACGGATGAGACTAGAATGAGACGAGAGAGAGACAAGAGTGAGACGGATGAGACTAGAATGAGACGAGAGAGAGAGACAAGAGTGAGACGGATGAGACTAGAATGAGACGAGAGAGAGAGACAAGAGTGAGACGGATGAGACTAGAATGAGACGAGAGAGTGAGGCAAGAGTGAGACGGACGAGACTAGAATGAGATGAGAGAGAGAGACAAGAGTGAGATGGATGAGACTAGAATGAGGCGAGAGAGAGAGACAAGAGTGTGATGGATGAGACTAGAATGAGATGAGAGAGAGACAAGAGTGAGATGGATGAGACTAGAATGAGGCGAGAGAGAGACAAGAGTGAGACGGACGAGACTAGAATGAGACGAGAGAGTGAGACGAGAGTGAGACGGACGAGACTAGAATGAGATGAGAGAGAGAGACAAGAGTGAGATGGATGAGACTAGAATGAGGCGAGAGAGAGAGACAAGAGTGTGACGGATGAGACTAGAATGAGGCGAGAGAGAGAGACAAGAGTGTGACGGATGAGACTAGAATGAGACAACAGAGTGAGACAAGAGTGAGACGGATGAGACTAGAATGAGACGAGAGAGAGAGACAAGAGTGAGACGGATGAGACTAGAATGAGATGAGAGAGAGAGACAAGAGTGAGACGGATGAGACTAGAATGAGACGAGAGAGAGAGACAAGAGTGAGAGTGAAGAGTGAGACGGATGAGACTAGAATGAGACGAGAGAGAGAGACAAGAGTGAGACGGATGAGACTAGAATGAGATGAGAGAGAGAGACAAGAGTGAGACGGATGAGACTAGAATGAGATAAGAGAGAGAGACAAGAGTGAGACGGATGAGACTAGAATGAGACAAGAGAGAGAGACAAGAGTGTGATGGATGAGACTAGAATGAGATGAGAGAGAGACAAGAGTGAGACGGATGAGACTAGAATGAGATGAGAGAGTGAGGCAAGAGTGAGACGGACGAGACTAGAATGAGATGAGAGAGAGAGACAAGAGTGAGATGGATGAGACTAGAATGAGGCGAGAGAGAGAGACAAGAGTGTAAGTAAGTAGTAAGTAGTAAGTAATTATTTATATACCGCCTTTTCACTGCAGAGCTGAGTCTCAAAGCGGTTTACAATTGTTATTTTTTTTTGGGCACTTGTCTCTCACTCCACACAGAGATGGGAGCGGGGTCGCCAGTACAGGAGGCGCATGTCAGAACTATTTTACATATTTTTAGCGGTAGGGGAAACCAGAGTACCCGGAGGAAACCTACGCAGACACGGGGAGAACATGCAAACTCCACTCAGAAAGGCCCTGGTCCGACCGGGATTCGAACCCAGGACCTTCTTGCTGAGAGGCGAGAGTGCTATCCACTCAGCCACCGTGCCGCCCACAAGTGTGATGGATGAGACTAGAATGAGATGAGAGAGAGACAAGAGTGAGATGGATGAGACTAGAATGAGATGAGAGAGAGACAAGAGTGAGATGGATGAGACTAGAATGAGACGAGAGAGAGAGACAAGAGTGAGACGGATGAGACTAGAATGAGACGAGAGAGTGAGGCAAGAGTGAGACGGACGAGACTAGAATGAGATGAGAGAGAGAGACAAGAGTGAGATGGATGAGACTAGAATGAGGCGAGAGAGAGAGACAAGAGTGTGATGGATGAGACTAGAATGAGATGAGAGAGAGACAAGAGTGAGATGGATGAGACTAGAATGAGGCGAGAGAGAGACAAGAGTGAGACGGACGAGACTAGAATGAGACGAGAGAGAGAGACAAGAGTGAGACGGATGAGACTAGAATGAGACGAGAGAGAGAGACAAGAGTGAGACGGATGAGACTAGAATGAGACGAGAGAGTGAGGCAAGAGTGAGACGGACGAGACTAGAATGAGATGAGAGAGAGAGACAAGAGTGAGATGGATGAGACTAGAATGAGGCGAGAGAGAGAGACAAGAGTGTGATGGATGAGACTAGAATGAGATGAGAGAGAGACAAGAGTGAGATGGATGAGACTAGAATGAGGCGAGAGAGAGACAAGAGTGAGACGGACGAGACTAGAATGAGACGAGAGAGTGAGACAAGAGTGAGACGGACGAGACTAGAATGAGATGAGAGAGAGAGACAAGAGTGAGATGGATGAGACTAGAATGAGGCGAGAGAGAGAGACAAGAGTGTGACGGATGAGACTAGAATGAGGCGAGAGAGAGAGACAAGAGTGTGACGGATGAGACTAGAATGAGGCGAGAGAGAGAGACAAGAGTGTGACGGATGAGACTAGAATGAGACAACAGAGTGAGACAAGAGTGAGACGGATGAGACTAGAATGAGACGAGAGAGAGAGACAAGAGTGAGACGGATGAGACTAGAATGAGATGAGAGAGAGAGACAAGAGTGAGACGGATGAGACTAGAATGAGACGAGAGAGAGAGACAAGAGTGAGACGGAAGAGTGAGACGGATGAGACTAGAATGAGACGAGAGAGAGAGACAAGAGTGAGACGGATGAGACTAGAATGAGATGAGAGAGAGAGACAAGAGTGAGACGGATGAGACTAGAATGAGATAAGAGAGAGAGACAAGAGTGAGACGGATGAGACTAGAATGAGACAGAGAGAGAGAGACAAGAGTGTGATGGATGAGACTAGAATGAGATGAGAGAGAGACAAGAGTGAGACGGATGAGACTAGAATGAGATGAGAGAGTGAGGCAAGAGTGAGACGGACGAGACTAGAATGAGATGAGAGAGAGAGACAAGAGTGAGATGGATGAGACTAGAATGAGGCGAGAGAGAGAGACAAGAGTGTAAGTAAGTAGTAAGTAGTAAGTAATTATTTATATACCGCCTTTTCACTGCAGAGCTGAGTCTCAAAGCGGTTTACAATTGTTATTTTTTTGGGCACTTGTCTCTCACACCACACAGAGATGGGAGCGGGTCGCCAGTACAGGAGGCGCATGTCAGAACTATTTTACATATTTTTAGCGGTAGGGGAAACCAGAGTACCCGGAGGAAACCTACGCAGACACGGGGAGAACATGCAAACTCCACTCAGAAAGGCCCTGGTCCGACCGGGATTCGAACCCAGGACCTTCTTGCTGAGAGGCGAGAGTGCTATCCACTCAGCCACCGTGCCGCCCACAAGTGTGATGGATGAGACTAGAATGAGATGAGAGAGAGAGACAAGAGTGAGATGGATGAGACTAGAATGAGATGAGAGAGAGACAAGAGTGAGATGGATGAGACTAGAATGAGACGAGAGAGAGAGACAAGAGTGAGACGGATGAGACTAGAATGAGACGAGAGAGTGAGGCAAGAGTGAGACGGACGAGACTAGAATGAGATGAGAGAGAGAGACAAGAGTGAGATGGATGAGACTAGAATGAGGCGAGAGAGAGAGACAAGAGTGTGATGGATGAGACTAGAATGAGATGAGAGAGAGACAAGAGTGAGATGGATGAGACTAGAATGAGGCGAGAGAGAGACAAGAGTGAGACGGACGAGACTAGAATGAGACGAGAGAGAGAGACAAGAGTGAGACGGATGAGACTAGAATGAGACGAGAGAGAGAGACAAGAGTGAGACGGATGAGACTAGAATGAGACGAGAGAGTGAGGCAAGAGTGAGACGGACGAGACTAGAATGAGATGAGAGAGAGAGACAAGAGTGAGATGGATGAGACTAGAATGAGGCGAGAGAGAGAGACAGAGTGTGATGGATGAGACTAGAAGAGATGAGAGAGAGAGACAAGAGTGAGATGGATGAGACTAGAATGAGGCGAGAGAGAGACAAGAGTGAGACGGACGAGACTAGAATGAGACGAGAGAGTGAGACAAGAGTGAGACGGACGAGACTAGAATGAGATGAGAGAGAGAGACAAGAGTGAGATGGATGAGACTAGAATGAGGCGAGAGAGAGAGACAAGAGTGTGACGGATGAGACTAGAAATGAGGCGAGAGAGAGAGACAAGAGTGTGACGGATGAGACTAGAATGAGACGACAGAGAGAGAGACAAGAGTGAGACGGATGAGACTAGAATGAGACGAGAGAGAGAGACAAGAGTGAGACGGATGAGACAAGAATGAGATGAGAGAGAGAGACAAGAGTGAGACGGATGAGACTAGAATGAGACGAGAGAGAGAGACAAGAGTGAGACGGAGAGAGTGAGACGGGATGAGACTAGAATGAGACGAGAGAGAGAGACAAGAGTGAGACGGATGAGACTAGAATGAGATGAGAGAGAGAGACAAGAGTGAGACGGATGAGACTAGAATGAGACGAGAGAGAGAGACAAGAGTGAGACAGAGTGAGACGGATGAGACTAGAATGAGACGAGAGAGAGAGACAAGAGTGAGACGGATGAGACTGATGAGAATGAGACGAGAGAGAGAGACAAGAGTGAGACGGATGAGACTAGAATGAGACGAGAGAGAGAGACAAGAGTGAGACGGATGAGAAATTCACTAGAATGAGACGAGAGAGAGAGACAAGAGTGAGACATAGAATCACAGTTGTTGGATGCCAGTATGCAATTCATGATAAGAGACTAGAATGAGACGAGAGAGAGAGACAAGTGGTTTGCTGCATGAATTTCACTTTTACAACAGAATCAGTTCAAATACATAGAATCACAGTTGTTGGATGCCAGTATGCAATTCATGATGTTTCTGGCCTGTTTTAAGCGTTTCAAGTGGTTTGCTGCATGAATTTCACTTTTACAACAGAATCAGTTCAAATACATAGAATCACAGTTGTTGGATGCCAGTATGCAATTCATGATGTTTCTGGCCTGTTTTAAGCGTTTCAAGTGGTTTGCTGCATGAATTTCACTTTTACAACAGAATCAGTTCAAATACATAGAATCACAGTTGTTGGATGCCAGTATGCAATTCATGATGTTTCTGGCCTGTTTTAAGCGTTTCAAGTGGTTTGCTGCATGAATTTCACTTTTACAACAGAATCAGTTCAAATACATAGAATCACAGTTGTTGGATGCCAGTATGCAATTCATGATGTTTCTGGCCTGTTTTAAGCGTTTCAAGTGGTTTGCTGCATGAATTTCACTTTTACAACACAGAATCAGTTCAAATACATAGAATCACAGTTGTTGGATGCCAGTATGCAATTCATGATGTTTCTGGCCTGTTTTAAGCGTTTCAAGTGGTTTGCTGCATGAATTTCACTTTTACAACAGAATCAGTTCAAATACATAGAATCACAGTTGTTGGATGCCAGTATGCAATTCATGATGTTTCTGGCCTGTTTTAAGCGTTTCAAGTGGTTTGCTGCATGAATTTCACTTTTACAACAGAATCAGTTCAAATACATAGAATCACAGTTGTTGGATGCCAGTATGCAATTCATGATGTTTCTGGCCTGTTTTAAGCGTTTCAAGTGGTTTGCTGCATGAATTTCACTTTTACAACAGAATCAGTTCAAATACATAGAATCACAGTTGTTGGATGCCAGTATGCAATTCATGATGTTTCTGGCCTGTTTTAAGCGTTTCAAGTGGTTTGCTGCATGAATTTCACTTTTACAACAGAATCAGTTCAAATACATAGAATCACAGTTGTTGGATGCCAGTATGCAATTCATGATGTTTCTGGCCTGTTTTAAGCGTTTCAAGTGGTTTGCTGCATGAATTTCACTTTTACAACAGAATCAGTTCAAATACATAGAATCACAGTTGTTGGATGCCAGTATGCAATTCATGATGTTTCTGGCCTGTTTTAAGCGTTTCAAGTGGTTTGCTGCATGAATTTCACTTTTACAACAGAATCAGTTCAAATACATAGAATCACAGTTGTTGGATGCCAGTATGCAATTCATGATGTTTCTGGCCTGTTTTAAGCGTTTCAAGTGGTTTGCTGCATGAATTTCACTTTTACAACAGAATCAGTTCAAATACATAGAATCACAGTTGTTGGATGCCAGTATGCAATTCATGATGTTTCTGGCCTGTTTTAAGCGTTTCAAGTGGTTTGCTGCATGAATTTCACTTTTACAACAGAATCAGTTCAAATACATAGAATCACAGTTGTTGGATGCCAGTATGCAATTCATGATGTTTCTGGCCTGTTTTAAGCGTTTCAAGTGGTTTGCTGCATGAATTTCACTTTTACAACAGAATCAGTTCAAATACATAGAATCACAGTTGTTGGATGCCAGTATGCAATTCATGATGTTTCTGGCCTGTTTTAAGCGTTTCAAGTGGTTTGCTGCATGAATTTCACTTTTACAACAGAATCAGTTCAAATACATAGAATCACAGTTGTTGGATGCCAGTATGCAATTCATGATGTTTCTGGCCTGTTTTAAGCGTTTCAAGTGGTTTGCTGCATGAATTTCACTTTTACAACAGAATCAGTTCAAATACATAGAATCACAGTTGTTGGATGCCAGTATGCAATTCATGATGTTTCTGGCCTGTTTTAAGCGTTTCAAGTGGTTTGCTGCATGAATTTCACTTTTACAACAGAATCAGTTCAAATACATAGAATCACAGTTGTTGGATGCCAGTATGCAATTCATGATGTTTCTGGCCTGTTTTAAGCGTTTCAAGTGGTTTGCTGCATGAATTTCACTTTTACAACAGAATCAGTTCAAATACATAGAATCACAGTTGTTGGATGCCAGTATGCAATTCATGATGTTTCTGGCCTGTTTTAAGTTTCAAGTGGTTTGCTGCATGAATTTCACTTTTTACAACAGAATCAGTTCAAATACATAGAATCACAGTTGTTGGATGCCAGTATGCAATTCATGATGTTTCTGGCCTGTTTTAAGCGTTTCAAGTGGTTTGCTGCATGAATTTCACTTTTACAACAGAATCAGTTCAAATACATAGAATCACAGTTGTTGGATGCCAGTATGCAATTCATGATGTTTCTGGCCTGTTTTAAGCGTTTCAAGTGGTTTGCTGCATGAAATTTCACTTTTACAACAGAATCAGTTCAAATACATAGAATCACAGTTGTTGGATGCCAGTATGCAATTCATGATGTTTCTGGCCTGTTTTAAGCGTTTCAAGTGGTTTGCTGCATGAAAATCACTTTTACAACAGAATCAGTTCAAATACATAGAATCACAGTTGTTGGATGCCAGTATGCAATTCATGATGTTTCTGGCCTGTTTTAAGCGTTTCAAGTGGTTTGCTGCATGAAAATCACTTTTACAACAGAATCAGTTCAAATACATAGAATCACAGTTGTTGGATGCCAGTATGCAATTCATGATGTTTCTGGCCTGTTTTTAAGCGTTTCAAGTGGTTTGCTGCATGAATTTCACTTTTACAACAGAATCAGTTTCAATACATAGAATCACAGTTGTTGGATGCCAGTATGCAATTCATGATGTTTCTGGCCTGTTTTAAGCGTTTCAAGTGGTTTGCTGCATGAATTTCACTTTTACAACAGAATCAGTTCAAATACATAGAATCACAGTTGTTGGATGCCAGTATGCAATTCAATGATGTTTCTGGCCTGTTTTTAAGCGTTTCAAGTGGTTTGCTGCATGAATTTCACTTTTACAACAGAATCAGTTCAAATACATAGAATCACAGTTGTTGGATGCCAGTATGCAATTCATGATGTTTCTGGCCTGTTTTAAGCGTTTCAAGTGGTTTGCTGCATGAATTTCACTTTTACAACAGAATCAGTTCAAATACATAGAATCACAGTTGTTGGATGCCAGTATGCAATTCATGATGTTTCTGGCCTGTTTTAAGCGTTTCAAGTGGTTTGCTGCATGAATTTCACTTTTACAACAGAATCAGTTCAAATACATAGAATCACAGTTGTTGGATGCCAGTATGCAATTCATGATGTTTCTGGCCTGTTTTAAGCGTTTCAAGTGGTTTGCTGCATGAATTTCACTTTTACAACAGAATCAGTTCAAATACATAGAATCACAGTTGTTGGATGCCAGTATGCAATTCATGATGTTTCTGGCCTGTTTTAAGCGTTTCAAGTGGTTTGCTGCATGAATTTCACTTTTACAACAGAATCAGTTCAAATACATAGAATCACAGTTGTTGGA